AAGCAGGCGAAACAGAAAAACCAAACAAAAATTCCTGACATCATACGTAACAAAATACTCATCTGTCCACGTCACAAGTGCAAATCCTACTCGTAAAGTACACACCTACGACAAGAACAAAAACACTACAACCATACAAGGACAAAAAATAAAGTACACAATCCCTAAACTTTTCACAGCCGAGCATAAACACACACTTCACAAACACTAATTAATCATCGAAAGCTTTTAAAATACCTCCGTAGTAAAAAAAACCCCCACCCCACACGCTTCATACACTTAACAAACCACAAGCCAATCACCACCCCCCCAAAACCCACACAACACAAAAGCATCTGGATTTATTGAAGAGATGTCCGTGCAGGCTATATTTCTTTGTCTTTTTCTCCGCCTTTATATAGATAGACTCACGGGGCGGGCGGGCGGGCGCGGGGGCGGGGAATCAAAGAAAGTCAGACAGCAGAAAGGGGGACGAGCGGGGGGCATGATACGGCGAAAACAGGCCTCTCAACCATTCATCAGCGTCATGGTCTCCCGTAGCAACGGCACCGTTTCGCCCTCAGCCTTCTTAGGTGAGGAGCGCAGCAGCCAGCTGTCAAAAGTTGGGGGCAGAGATGTGTTGAAGGAAGAACCTGAAGGCGATGTTTTTGACATTTTCTGATATTGTAACTATGAGGCTAAAACCTGCTCAGCCTTAGTTTTTGGGAAAAAAATGTTCACATCAGTAGTTACACCTCCTATTATTATTATTATTATTATTATTATTAATAATAATAATAATAATAATAATAATAATAATAATAATATTGTTATTACGTCAGATTTTGCAAAAATAAAATGTATCTAAGGCAGGAACTGCTCAAGTTGCAATGAATGGAAATGCATAAAACCATAATTTTTATTTACCCAGTCAGTACATTGAGCTGCATCATGTGGCATGGGCCACGCCCATTTCCTCCAGTATTTTTTTTGTATCTGTCAGGTCAGTTTGGGTTGACATCCATTTTTCCACCTTTAGAAGTTGAACAAAAAGTGATTCAGTGGACACACTAAATGATTAGAGCCAGGTTTTAATGCATTTGTATGATGAGGAGGCAGACTGGAGTGCATGATAATATGGCTAACTGTTTATTTATTCTCTCTTTCCCTCCCTGTCTCTTTGCCCTCTTATATTTCCCACTCCTACTCCATTTCTCTGACTCTTCCTTCCTCTTCTCAATCTGACGCTCCACATTTGCATATCTCTCTTGCCCTCTCCCTCTCTTGCTTCATTTTCTCTTTCTCTCTGCCGCCCTCGCTCTTTCTCTGCCTCTTCCTCCCTCTCCCGTATGTCCCTTGTCTCCTCCCCATCTTCTGCCTTCTGACAACCCTCTTTTTCTCCCCTCTCTTCTCTTTTCCTAATCTCTGTCCGTCCATGCTCCCTCCCTCAATCCCTCGTCTCCCTTCATCTTTCCCTCTCCTCTCTTCCCTCTCTCGCCCTCCAGAGCCCTTCAGTGCGGATGTGTGGGTGATGATGTTCGTGATGCTGTTGCTGGTGTCAGCAATGGCTGTGTTTATATTCGAGTACTTCAGCCCTGTGGGCTACAACCGCTGTCTGGCTGACGGCAAAGGTGAGAGGCCTCACTTCAACACACGCACACACACATAGACACAGGCATCGTACCTGAGCGAGGAGGGGGGGGCAGATGTAAATGGATGCAGTCACTTTCTCTTCCAGTCTTCCAGCCGTGTTGCCTTTCTCATCTCTTTCAGAATACACCAGATGGGAGGGCGCGCTTCAGTTGCATTTACCAGTGAAATTATACCTTTGCAACATGTTCTGAAAGTGATGTATTACTTTGGAACTAAAGTTAGACTTTTTCAGCACTTCACAGTTAATTTGTTTTGTGGGAAATGGAAGGCTATTCACATCTACATGACAATAAAGCCTTCAAAATGAAAGTATCTGAATAGTTTAACTGTATTCACTGCCAACACATATTACATTGAATCAAAAACATATTTAGTAAAGCAAATGAATGGTATATAAGCACATTTTGTAGGAGGATAAGCACTGAATATGTTTTAGTGGACACTTCTAACACACATACCCAAAGCAGAAACCTTGAATAATACTTTATCTATTTCTTGTGGCATCATCTTTTCACTGGTTACTTCCTGCCATTTGCACTGACAAATTGATAAATAATTTCCCAGGCTTCCGATTTTCTGAATAGCATCTGAATGGGAGATTGTTTAGCAGCCAACTTTAAAGCCATGGATGTGACACTACCAACAGCACATAAAGCAGTTTTGTTGAAGACACAATCTGATGGTGGAATTATGGATTTAAATAAAGGCAAGGGCTATCTCTCCACCAAATCTTCAACATTCAAAGGGATTGAAAACATAAAACGCTTTAAACTTTGTTGGTAAAGTCTGCGAATGAGGATTCAGAGTATGCAGAGAACATGGTGGCGGGCAATTTGTCCCTCTAGAGAAAAAGTGTTCGATGAGTAATGCTCCAACTAGTAATTTTCACCAAACAAGAGCAAGCACAGGTACAGCTTCGCAGGTTAATGCATTCTCACCGTAACAATACCAGCGTGGATCGTCTTGTACGCATTGTCCTTTGCTGCGCACAAAGACTGACAGAGACACAGACCCGCACAAACACACTGCGGGCCGCCTCCACATATAGACCAGCCATCCTCACTGACCCAATGACTTCATTCTCCTCTCCTCCTCCTCCTCCTCTTCCTTATCCTCCTCCACGCTGCTCTCTACTTATCATTTACAGGTGTGTCTTGCTGCATGGGTTTTAACACGCATCCAAGAGCTGCTTCCTTCACACCGGACAAGTCATTTTGCATTCATTTCCATATTTCCCAAAATCACGTGTCAGCTCTGACAGCATCGAGCTAGTTTTGTGTTAGATCTCCCCAGCCAAAAAGATGAGAAACAAAAAAAAAAAAATCAATGTCTTCCCACAACTCCATCTCTGATGTGGCTATATATAGGCAGTGGCTATCTTTTTTTCATTCCTCTCATCCTTCATCATGTTCTGGAGAAGATGTACTCCTCCCTAAAGCGCTGTTCTCTTCTGTGTGCCTCCTTGTTTTAACTGCTTGTAGCGCTGTGGGAGTTTGGTATCATGAAGAGTGCAGATCGAAGTTCGGACTCAAAGGACTGGACGCAATAATGTATCAATGGCATGACTGCAGATTTGTGAAGTCTCTGCCCGATTCATTTAACCAACTTTCTTGCAAACTTCACAAAGCAGATATTTGGCACAATAAAGCCCGTTTGTCCATGAACAAAAGCCCCATACAACAATACGCGCCCACATGCTTGCACACAAACTCTCTCTCTCTCTCTCTCTTTCTCTCTCACACACACTCACACATACCCACACAAACATTATGAACCAACTGCTAATCACAGCAGAAAGGCTAGAATGAACCAGTCTGCTGCCAGCTCATGGATGAATTGAACCAACACTGTTCCTAACCTACACAAAAAACAACAATCAATTACATTCACGTGTGATATATGTGTGTGTATAGCTGATATAAGTGAAAAACAAGAGTCTACCGCCATTCTAGCAGCTCTGTGAGGCTTTTCTAAATTCAAACTGCTAATGCCAGTATGGTAACATGCATACAATTTACTATTGTTTATCAGCTTAGTTTAGCTTGTTAGTATGCTAATGTGTGCTAATTTGCACTAAACACAAAGACATGAATGTGTGAAAGCAGATCAACTGTGTGTCCCGTGCAGTGGTTGCGAAACCAAGACCGATCTGCAACGTATTCTTTAACCATGGCTGCGTTTCTTTCAGAGCCTCACGGCCCGTCTTTCACCATCGGTAAGGCCATCTGGCTGCTGTGGGGTCTGGTCTTTAACAACTCCGTGCCAGTACAGAACCCCAAAGGCACCACCAGTAAGATCATGGTGTCGGTGTGGGCCTTCTTCGCTGTCATCTTCCTGGCCTCCTACACTGCCAACCTGGCTGCTTTCATGATCCAGGAGGAATATGTAGACCAGGTAACTGGTCTCTCAGACAAAAAGGTAAGATGGAAGGTTTCTGTTTGATGCTGTGCTACCCAATCTTCTTAATTTGTTAAGCAGGATTTTTAGATGCCTCTCTCTCCATGCTCTTTTAGTTCCAAAGTCCCAACGACTTCTCTCCTCCTTTTCGGTTCGGCACTGTCCCAAACGGGAGTACAGAGAGAAACATCAGGAACAACTATCCAGAAATGCACTCCTACATGACAAAGTTCCATCAGAGAAATGTCAACGAAGCTCTGCAGAGCCTCAAGGCTGGGTGAGAAAACGGAAGTGGCTCATTTAGTTTCATTGTAAAAACAAATGTACAGATACAGTCCAAGGATCGTTTTTATCCCTATTTGACATCATCATCTAGAGATACTGAACAGTGTATTCTGGTGCATTTTGTGTCTTGGCTTCAGGCACATAAACATCTGTTATTTCAGTAGTTTATTATGTTGAAAGCTGCTTTTTGCATTTCCTAAATAAGAAGGGGAATTGAGTCTTATGGTAGCAGCTGTTAAGATTTTAAGGGAATCAAAAGCACAATATAGTGCAGGTGAACAGCTCCCTAAAAGTATGGAAGCGTCAAACGATGGTCATTACATTGTAGACACATACTATAATAGAAAGTTTAAGTTTTTGGGAAAAAAGCCCCTGTTTATGTCTTTCTTACTTGTCTTCATGTAAACATATTGTCGCTGAATAACTCCAATAATACTTTCACTCCCCCTCTTCTGTTTTCATCAAGTGTTCCTTTTCGCCAGTCTGTGTGCCAGCTCCAGCCTTTGGCAAACCAAGTGGAAGTCTATTACACTTATCAGCAGCTTAGTGCTATTTAGCAGGTTAATTGGAATGTTGTAGCTGTGATGTCTGACTCCTAAGTGCTAATTAATTGTAACCTATCTCTCTCTCGCTTTCTGCCTCTCTCTCTTTTTCATTAGCAAACTAGACGCTTTCATTTATGACGCGGCCGTACTGAACTACATGGCTGGCAGGGACGAGGGTTGCAAGCTGGTGACCATTGGCAGCGGCTACATCTTCGCCACCACGGGGTACGGTATCGCCATCCAGAAGGAGTCGCTCTGGAAGAGGCATGTGGACCTGGCCATCCTGCAGCTCTTTGGAGACGGTGAGGCGGAGTGCTGTTTCCTCCGTTGTTTTACTCACACTGCTCAGTTTAATACTCTCAGTGAATAGAGACTCTGCCATGCGGACCGTACAGCTGTGCTGAGTTGTTTATTTAATTACCCAAAGATGCAGCAGATAGTCACTGAGATAATACCATACTCTACCAGCGAGGGAAACAGAACATGACTTCTGATTGACAACCTTGAAGCAAACATAGAAGGATAAGTTCGACTTATTTTAACAGAAGTCAGAATATTTTGTCCTCCAAACAAGTTAAACTGAAGGTCTGAAGTATTTTCTTACAGTGTCACAAGTCCCAGATCTCAACAATTAACTTCAAAAGTATAATGTTATAATAACCAATAGAAACAATGGTCAAACCTAAAAAATAAGATCCAAAGCTAAGGTAATAAACTTGTGTGATCCTTTAAGAGCTAATGTGAGGCGCTTGATTTACCCACAAATATGCTATGAATAAATCTTGCCTCAGGCTGTGCTGGAGGGACAAACAGTGGCTGAGTTTATTTCTCATGTATATTAGTATAAAATACACTGTTTTCAAGAATGTTTTCTCTAAACTCAGGTTTCTCAGACAGTAAGATTTTAGGGTTTCACCCACTCGCCATCTGTTCAGGATAGCAACAGGTAGAGGAAGGAGAAATCTTTGTGTGTCTGCAACCACAATTGTGCTATTTAATTGGCTCTGCAGGTCAAAAGTACAGTAATTCCACTCTCATATATAATAAGAACAGACAGAGAAGGTAAGACAGCGCTGCTAGGAATATAAGTTGAGATTTTGCTCCACCATGGGGGCCCTATGCTTTATGATCACGCTTGCCTTTTATGGGAGACTGTCCAAGCTCTCCAGGGCTTGTTCTTTTGAAACACTTCATTCCTGTCAGATGTAGCTGGAACATTAATGAGTCTCGAATGAGCAGGGAATGAAATTAAATGTGTTCAAAATGTCCATTCCTATCCCATATAGTATATGTTTTATGGTTTTCAAGCAAAAACTCCTCATCATAAACAAGTCAAAATGTCACAGACAACGGCTGCTCGCTGAGTTTATCGACTTTAACAGTCTAATTTCACAATGTCCTGTTTTGATATACAGCTCAATTCAGAATGGGTAATGTAATGGAAGTTTAGTGTGTGTGTGTGTGTGTGTGTGTGAGTGTGTGCGTGCGTGCGTGTGTGTAGGTTTGTGTGTGTTAATTTGGGCATGGTCCAGCATGTTGTGAGCATCCTGAACCAAGGGCCCTCCGGGGCCCACTATAGTGCGTCCCAGATAGGGGTGCCAGCATAGCTCCTGGTGTATTTCAACACCGTGTGTATCGAGTGCACGGGTTTGTGTGCGCGTGTGTACACGCACATGTGAATATGGGTCAGGCTTCTGAAAATGAGAGGGCCTATGTGTGTAAGCGAGAGGCGTGTGTGTGTCTGCGTCTGTGTGTGTGTGTTTTGGAGAAAAAGAGAGCGTGGTGTAGAGATTTTGACTATTTATGACACAGGTTTATTTTTAACAACCTACATACAATTCAGTAAGAGTTTGTGTGTATTGTTTCTGACTCATTGATTATAGGTTTGATTATTTGTATGTTTAACTTGTGCATCTGTGTGTTTTTGTCAGAGCACATGTGTCTGCGTGTGTGTTTGAAAATGGGTCGGCTTGCAGTTACATCCCCCTGTGCAAAGCATTCACACAGGAGCCAGGCGGCCCCGTCTCGCCCCTCTCAGGATACCAATGTCACTTTGCCACGCCTCACCATCCACTCCCCTCCTGGTGGCCTAGAAAGCGATCAGACTCACGTGGAGAGCCCAGTGGCCTGGTACGAATGCTGGAAGGGAGTCTGGCTAGTTTGACGCAGGCCGGAGCAAAAAATATATCACAGCTGTCGTGAAAAAGAAACAGCGGTTTTGATTGGTGATTTTCTGATTCGCTGTTGGGTGGAAAGTTTTGAAGTCATTTACAGTACATGTTGAGTTTAATGACCTTTCGGACTTGAATCCAATGAAAGCCCGTCAGAGATACCAGGTATCAATAGTGATTTCCTTGGTTCCAAAATGTACTTTTTAAATTATTGTGTTCATACTTTTAGTTATTAGAGTGAGAACAGAGGAAACAGGAAAGAAGACAACGAGCAATAAGGTTTTTCTTCTGAACTAACAGTCTACAGCTGTCCTATTTAATATAGTGATTACTAAGTCAAACATCAGCTAAATCGTCCTTCTTTCACTTGAATCTTCAAATGTCCATTATTTTATTCCTTGCATTATTGTCCACAAAGCAAGGCACCATAAAAGTTCAAGGGGAGCTTAGCTGAGCATAAAGAAATAGTTTGTACACAACCCCCTGTAAAATAGCAAGCTGTTGTTTTGACACTTTAGTTTCTGTATTGATTAAATGAACAACATATATCCATGTTATTTAGTGAATAAATGCTGGTACAGTTAACACATTTCGTTAGATTTGAACTTGTTTGCCATTTCCCCCTGTTTCTGGTCTTTATGCATAAACTAAGCTAACAGGCTTCTGGCTTTAGCTCCATATGTATTTCCCTCAGTATCCCTCATGTATTTCCTCAGAATTACAGTACAATTAATGCCTCAACTCAACCTTCTTAAACTAAACAACTTTCATAGACCTCAGACTTGCTTGAGATAAATGCAGCTTGCCTAAGAAACCACAACAAAACAATCTGAGCTCAAGGTCCACCTATTAGCTTTTTCAATTCATCAATTACCTTACATGTCATAGTTTTCATCAGTGGATGGAGCTCAGTTGTCATCATTAGACCTACTGTAAGTATGGAGCTTCAGATGAGGAACATTTTGAGACGCAGTTAAAGCTCTGTGTCTTTGTCATACATTGTTCACAGATATTTTCACAGTAGGAGCCGTACATGTGTCACCATGTTTGCTCTTACTTTTTGCTAAATGAAAAAAAAATGGCATAACTTGCAGAAACAAACCCCCTACAAGTTGGCCCAGCGCTTCGCCAGAGCATCTTTACTTCAAGAATTTGCAGAAGTTGTTGCGTTAATATGCTTCGCTCATACAAATGCAAGCGTTATATACCACTGTCACGTTAAAATGGTTTCACAGTCAGTTTCTCAGCAGCTATGTGGCCCAGTGACTGCTGAACGATTGCATCTGTATTTTTTGTCTGTGTGTGTGTGTGTGTGCCTCCCTGAGTTTGTATGCTGTGGAGCTTCTTGTTGATGATGCTCAGAGGCCAGCCAGTGCTCTGGTGCAAGAGTCGCACTGACGTGCAGCGACTGAATGTATGATTAATTAAGCGACGCCTGTCCTGCCACAGTCGGCTTTGATAGAGAACAGCTTGTGATGAAACAGAAGGTGACCCACAAAAGAGACCAGAAGCTCAGGGACCAGCATCAGACACACGGACACACACACAAACATACACACATATATGCACATACATACATGCACACACTTGTTTTATACAATTTGCATAGATGCATGCACGTGTTGATGCTAAAGCTGTTACATATTGTGTGGTAATCGCTTAGAGACACAATTATTTGCTGAAATTAGTGCAAAAAAGATCAGTGTAATTAGCATGTGACCAATGGCGTGTGTTTTACTCTTTTCCTGTCTGCAATGAAGTCTACTGCAAAATTCAAGGCTGTATTTCACTTCTAACTCCCCTGACCCCCCCTTCCCCTCGCCTGCCCGCCATCTTCCCTCCTCTCTTCTTCTGTTGCATCATCGCTCCATCCCCCCGTGCCCTCCAATACCCATCCTGTTATTACATCATATCCCTTCTCTCCCCTTCCCACTTTTTTTGCTCCCCTCTTTTTATTTGAATTCCCGTACGAATTATAAAAACACTTCTCCATGTGTCGTCATAATGCCCCATCCCCTGTCTCGTCTCCTTCTCTTCTTCTGTCCATCC